CATGTGAGTACTAAACTAAGTTCTCATTCACACACAAGTTTACGTTAAAAACACACGAGTTACAAAAACAGTGGGTTATGTCTGTGAAGGTAAACAGCTGAGAAATAAATCGCTTGTTTATTTTAGATCTGTGTGGCAGCAGCAATATACAGTAAATAAATCAATAAATCCACTGTTCTCGTCTCCTCTGAGGCTGGGACTCTAAACAGTGTTCTGAGCTCGTCTGTGCAGCCAAACACAGAACAGTTAGCATGCTTCGCTCAAACTTTCTCCATGGCGTTAGAACTAGTACACCGTTGTCGCTTGTGAAAACACAATAACGGCGCCGTGGGTGGAAATTTACAGATTAAGGGGCGGTAATATTATAATGAGATCCCTTTGTGACGTCACCAAGAGAGCGAAATCAGAAGCGCTCGTTTTCTCAGACGCTTTCAGAAAAAGACTTACCAAAACAAAGTTACTGGGTTAATCTTTTTCACGTTTCCTTGGTTGGTAGATGCACCGGGGACCTGATTATAGCACTTACAACCTGGAAAAGTCAGATTTTCATGATATGTCACCTTTAAGACGTCAGTTTTACATGCATTCTAAATCATAAACATCTTAAAGACATCTTCTAAACGTCTATTTGACATCTAAAAGGAAACTTCCAATAGACGGATTGCAGATGAGCAAACTCTACAAAATAGGCTAGGTCTTGCAGATATAATGCAGACGTCAAATAGACGTCTCCGTGATGTACGTGTGCTGTTAGGGTACCTATCTATATCTCTCTATCATTCTATCGCTCTGTCTGTCAGTGTTTATCAGTGTGGATGTGGATTAGCTGTCAAACATGCGCAGAGCATCATCACGTCGTCAAAGCTCATCATATAAGACGAATCCTCGGGTCTCCTTTCTGTTCAAACTAACCTCCCCCTCCAGTCCCGGATTAAATCAAATCCATTTGATGCTGACACTCTGTTTATGCCCTGCTTGCTGGAAAATCATAAATAATGTGACATCTTTAGATGCAGAACTGATGCTTAATCTCCTTAAAATAAGTGTTTTTAGTGTTCATTAATAAAATCTGACATGCATAATGACAGATAAATGCAAAACACGTGAAACACAATGAATGAGATTAACGCTCAAAATGCATTTACTTACATAATCCAATGTAGGCATAACAGAACGAAAGCCTCCTATTTTGTATTTAAAGAGGTTGATTATTTCTTCCGGGTGTCCTAGAGACTTGAGGATGTCCATTTTCCCCCGTGTGTTTATGAGGACGCTTTTCTTAACAGGTGAGCTGAAATCCACGCGCTGCAATTTCCATTCAAACTCTATAGAGATCCAGTACAGCATCAGACAATCCCTCACTCACACGATCGACTGACTCCTCTGATTGGCTGAGGTGTCATGGGCTTAGAGCGCATCGACCAATGAGCGGCGAGAGCGACTGGCGTGATGGCCCGCCCAGTAACCAGTGCGATGCGCTGATTGGTCAGAGGGGCGATGACGTTGAGGGGTATTACGAACACCGGAATGGTATAAATACAAAGAAACAGAATTACCTCAGCTGAATATTGGAGTTGAAGAATTAAAATAATTAGCTGTATTGCTTATAACATTAATATGGTTTTATATAATATATAACCACAGTAATTAAACACTATTCTTGTGCATAATGTGTATTGCTCAGGAATATTTTCCTGGCTGCACGTGTTTTTATCGCGTTTCAATACAATAAAAATATAATGGCATTCAAGAACACATTGTTATTTACAATAATAATTACTCTACATGTGCATAAACATCTTCTAAACGTCTGTTTGACATCTGATAGGTATTGCAGATGAGCAAACACTCTAAAAAACACGTCTTGCAGATGTAAATGCAGACGTCAAAAATTATAACGATAATTA